TAAAAAGCACGGAAATTTGCACATTTTAAGGTAGAAACTAACAAAGCTTTCACTTAGGACTGCCTCACCCAATGTTTAAAAAGACAGAGTCAGGTACCAAGACATTTTAGTTTGCACTTTTTAAAGTAGAAACTAACAAAGCTTTCACATAGGACTGCCTCACCCAATGGTTAAAAAGAGAGCCAGTTACCTAGACATTTTAGTTTCATGAGATGAGCGCAAGCCTCAAGGTGTTGTGAGTGTAAGTGCCACAGTAAACCAAAAAAACTATAAAAAAATTATTAAAAATGCAAAATAAGCTCATAATACATCATAAACAATCTTCAACGTCATAATAAAACAATTTTAAGTGTGCAAGCAAACAAATGAAATTTTTTATATTGAAAGTATTATTTTAGTTGGTGAGGATAATGTACTATTCCCAAAATAGGAATATGAGAAACACAATTTTTTAATGTTTTAAATGGGCATTGGGCTATTCTTAAAGTGGGTCAGTACTATTTTTTATGCTTGATGGGCCACGAGCCTTAAGGCGGTGCTGTGAGGCATATGCCTCCAAAGACTGCCTCAAAATAGTGCCTTGAGGCTTTTTTCGCACGCCTCAATCAGAGGAAGTTTTCAATTGGGATGTTTTAAACCATGGTCTCACCTCGTCTAAACAAGATAACAATCAGTCTGATAAGAAACCATCAAACTCCAGTTTATAGCCTTAATCAAAGTGTACATGGATAAATGATTTTTTTTGGTCTTATACAATAACATGAACAGACAGGAAGGCAAGGGTTGTTCAGAGAGAAGGTACCTCAGGCTAGCAATAGGGGAGTTCAGAGAGTAATCAGGACGAAAAAGGCTGCGATATAGTGAGTAATGCGGCCTTATGAAAATATTTATTTGGGATAGGACTTGTCTATCGTAGGACTTTTATTATGGTATAACTCACTTCCCTTATATTTGGTTTGGAACAAAATGTGACTACAAATGCTTCAGCAGGCTCCTAGGGAAATGAGAGCTGATATTGGCCGTTACAATTAGTACAATTGATGCATAGATGGTGGAGGAAGCAGTTAAGTTGGTAATAAATGGCCCAGGTAATAGGATAGACAGAATTTTCAAACTCCCTCTACATGAAACATTCTAGGGTGAATCAAATAATTGCAAAGATCATGACTTTGAGAAGTTAGCGAGCAATAAAATTCAATCAAAACTCTAAACAATCACACTAATTAGGACAGTGCAGCTAGAGGAAACATAACAAGAGTCATAGAGAGCCCATATAATTTGTACAGACTAATTTTTCCAAAGGTTCATCCCAAAAAAAACAAAAAAAGGTAGCTAAAATCAAGTTCCAGCGGCAAGCATCGAACACAAACTACAAATCCCTTTCAAAATAAGCTCATAATATGAACAAAAATCAGTTAGAACCTTATCAACATTACCTTTTAAATATCTATTTTTATATGGTTAAATTTTTTTTTTTTTTTTTTTGGTCTTGTACAATAGCTGAATAACATGAACAGACAGGAAGGCAAGGGTTGTTCAGAGATAAGGTACCTAGCAATAGGTGAGTTCAGAGAGTAATCAGGATGAAAAAGGCTGTGATATAGAGAGTAATGCGGCCTTATGAAAATATTTATTTGGGATAGGACTTGTCTATCATAGGACTTTTATTATGATATAACTCACTTCCCTTATATTTGGTTTGGAACAAAATGTGACTAAGAATGCTTCAGCAGGCTCCTAGGGAAATGAGAGCTGATATTGGCGGTTACAATTAGTACAAGTTGATGCATAGATGGTGGAGGAAGCAGTTAAGTAGGTAATAAATGGCCCAGGTAATAGGATAGACAGAATTTTCAAACTCCCTTTACATGAAACATTCTAGGGTGAATCAAATAATTGCAAAGATCATGACTTTGAGAAGTTAGCGAGCAATAAAATTCAATCAAAACTCTAAACAATCACACTTATTAGGACAGTGCAGCTAGAGGAAACATAACAAGAATCAAGGAGAGCCCATATAATTTGTACAGTCTAATTTTTCCAAAGGTTCATCCCCAAAAAAAAAAAAAAGGTAGCTAAAATCAAGTTCCAGCGGCAAGCATCGAACACAAACTACAAATCCCTTTCAAAATAAGCTCATAATATGAACAAAAATCAGTTAGAACCTTATAAACATTACCTTTTAAATATCTATTTATCCACTATATCGACATTTATGTACGGATTAACAGAGCGAAACAGAAAACCGAATAAACAGAAAAGCCTATAATCTCAAACGAATAATTTAACTAGAACAATTTTCGATTGACTGAATTAATAATTAAAATTTGAGAATATAAAAGATACCTGATTTGGGGAGAAATGATTGAGTGGAACTGAGGAACTTGGAGGCACACGATCTCAATCCATTGTTCATCGCCATTTTCTTTAAGAAATTTTTGTTTATCAAATTAAAATCAGAGATTCTGCTTCTGCTGTGTGTGTAGATGAAACCAAAATTGAATCGACGAGTATGATTTGCAATTTGGGGCGACTGATTCTTCTAAGCATGTGATTAGCACGTGAGATATTTGTTGGGCTTCAAGTTATTGGGCTTGGTCATTACAACGGGTTAGCTAGATCTGATATTAACCGGGTCGGGTCAGGAGTTCTTCTGGACGTAAGTCTCAACCTTTCATAAACGTGAGTACGTAACTCTCGTGTCTCCAACCTACCATCTGTTGAGCGCACATTCCCAATTTGTCCAAAAAGATTTCTTTTATTCTAAAACAATCTAAAATGTGATTTCGACATTCATTTAGAAATTCGAATGGGACAAAATTTCCCGCACAAAACATATTTACATCAATTCATCCTTGAGTGTCACGTGACTATTTAACATTCAAATAAACATTTATTGTTAACTAGGAATATGTGTGCTACGATTGCAAAGCAACATAGTTTGTAAGTACGAAAATTTTTGTCATTCCTAACCCACTTTTTCTTGAAACTTGACCAAGGATGTCTAATACTACAATGGATATATAAAAAAGGGAAAAATTCACAACTCATGTATTAACTATGATCAATTCAAATTTCAGGTTTAAACTTCCAAAATTCAAAACTTGGGTGAAAAATAAATAATTAAAATATTTTATTAATTAAGAGTGTGTTTGATGGATATTATTTTGGAAGAATGTATTTTGGAATAGTAGATTGATGGAGAATGTATGGTTGAAAAAGAAGGAAAAATCATTGATGTGATGGAAAATATTATTTTATTGAAGAATGTGTGGTTAAAAATGAGTAGAAAAATGAGAATGAAATTTTTAATGAGTATCAAACGGGGCTTAAATATATTAAGGTTACAATTATACAATTAATGGTCACATGTACGTACTTATGAGTCATAACTTATTTATTGATTACATATTATCAAATTAATTGGTCATGGATTATTTTTCGATTGTTCATCGATTACAAATCAAAAAGTTAATAGGTCACAATTTATTTATCAGTCACAAATCATAAATTTTATGTCACAATTTATTTCACGGTCACAATATATCAAATTAATTGATCACAAATTATTTTTCGATTACAAATTATAGAATTAGTTGGTCACAAGTTATTTTTCAATCACAAATCATCGAATTATTTGGTCACAAATTACCAAATTCTCATCACGATTTCAAATTTAGTCACAATTACACATTCTTTTAGATCACAAATTAACCAATGGTCACAACACCCGAATAATGATCACACTCTTCTTCCCCCCATCACCACCGCTGACACCTCAGCACCACCACCACACAAATCGTCGTTGTCATTCCCACAATTCTAAAACCACAACAACCACATACCACAACAGCAGCAGCAAATGACACCACCACAGCAACCATGGGCCACACAAACCACCATAACCATTGGAGAAATCAAACTTAGAATTATTTTTTTTAAAAGAAAAGGATATAAAAGATTTGAGCCGTTGTGGACCAATCACTGTTAGATTAGAAGCAAAGGTGATGGGCTGCCGCCGTCGCTGAGCACCAGATCTCGATATCACAACGACAATTGCGTCTTTTCCTAGATCATCTTCCCCAGTTCGTCTTTCCACATATTGTACAAAATCATCTTTTATTTTTGTGTGCAGCGACAACATCATCGTAGAGGTGGAGGTGGGCGTGAGAGCCCTTGCTGCACCAATGTCGTCATTACGTTCGAGACTTTATCGATATTTCAATGCGTCGATAGTCGCTGCAGGCAGCGCTGAGTGCCTAGTACAAAGGAATGCCACTGCGGTGCGGTGAATAGTAATCTTTAAAACCCTGATACGATGTTTCCACTTAAAAAAATTCACCCCAACATCAACCCAAAACTTGGCCAGCAATGTCTAATACCCCAATAAATATTTTGAAAATCCACCCGAACGTCAACCCAAAACTACTTGGCTAACAATGTCTAATACCCCCACTAAATATTTTGAAAATCGACCCTAACGTCAACCCAAAATTTGGTTAAGAATGTCTAATAACCATTTAAATATTTTGAAAATCGGCCTAAACGTCAACAGAAAATTGTAGGGTCGAAGGTCAAAAGTTAAACGACTAATGAAAAACCTATTAAAAAGTAAAAACAAAATTTTGAAGTGAACTCACCCATTCTTGACTTGTTTTGAAGTGATCCTAAAACTAGTATGGAATACTGATATTGATATTCAAGCTAACAAATAATGATTTCTATTATGGTACAGGAACCCTTTTCCTGATACAAATTCTTGACTATATACAGAAATGAATTTTGAGCATTATAGATTTAATGCAGTGCAAACAACAGACTCCAAGAATCAAAACCTCAAGAACTACAGCCTCTCGATTTGAATGGCAAAAAATCGATAATTATTAATTAATTGAATGCTGTATTAATTTTACAACTATATAGTAAACCTTTAAGCACCTGTAGAGACGATTAGTATACTGGTTTTCAAGTAGATTTTGTTGTGATACTATGCTCAGTTTTCAAATCTTTCTGCACATGCAATCCGGCATGGGGTACATGTAGAGCGAGCTGCTCAGTTTTCTCAACTCAACCCCTTTAACATCACTATGGCGAAGCATATCCTGCAGTTGGCGTTTAAAATCTTGCCATCTGTAGACATCATTAGCATTTAGTGGATATTAAGATCAACATTAATTTCAGCAGTCGAAGTTCAAGATGCAAACAGGTTAAAATCCTAGAACCCGAGACCTAATGACGCTTATACCATACTATCATAGACCCAAAGGCACAAATTAACAGCCAAAAATAAAAAAATTGAGAGTTGCGCATGTAATCACCTCATACTTGGATTATCAAATAATTGAACTAATATCCTCTTATCGGGTTTAATTGTTTTGGCATGTCCTTCATAAAAATAGCGCCGGTGCCCCACCAAGAAATGGGGGAAGTTACCACCCTGAGTCGTAACAAAAACTTCACTATGAAGGCAAACAGTATAATCCAAGGCTGCCAACCTCGATGAATGCCCCTGCATGAGACGACAATGCTTAGCTTGTGCAAGTAGGAGAGCACTAATCATACAGTGCATGTTTGACACGCAATACTTGGTTAGGACTGGACAGTATAATAAACCAGATTTTAACTAATTTTTATTCTTTAATACTATCGAGTACTATCTAATCCTCATACCAAACATGCCAATAGAGTCTTAGAATTATACCATGAATGGAGTAAGTTCTTCCAGGGAGGTTAGTGTTTCCTTTGTTTCTAAAAGAGGAAACATCTTTTTCAGGGGAGCCATATACTTCTCTGCTTTGTAAATTTTTCCGGAGGCAGCATAAAGAGAGGTGTTGTTATCAAATCCCATGCCCCTAAGCATCATTCCCACCTACATTGTACAGTCAGCAAACCATCAATCCAGTGGACACTGATGATGGTCACGAATTGAGCACCAGGTTTTATCACTTTTTATCGTTCAAAAAAGTAGTGCGTTTATCACTTTTTATCATACCTCCAGTGGAGTTAAAGGGCACTTGCCATCCACTCGATTAGCACCTGGTTTTATTACTCTGCCCCTTCTCCGAAATTTTCCTCTCCAACTTCTTTCTCGAACAATATCCATCTCATGCTTCTCTTCCTCGCCGCCATCATATATGCAGCACGAAAACGCCACCATATCCTTTCATGAGAGAAAAAAAAAGCATTAAAATCTGAGACCACACTATGGAATAAAGAAACAAAGTTCTTCATATCAAACAAATGAGTTCAAAAGTACACCTCTTCAAATCGGAGATGAACTGAAACGTATCTTGCCCCACTTTTCAAGCTGGTTTTAACCATCCGATCAACCATTTTTGCAGCAAGCATGCGTATGGGTTCCGAAAACCTAAGTGCTTCAAAATTGCACAAGCATCGAAGCCCTTGTATATTTGAAGGGACTGAATGGGCCAATCTGTTAGAGAAAGGTGCAATGCGAACAGCCCTGCACCCGTTTATCAAAAACAGTTATGATTGTCTCATCAAGTTTTGCATTAATGTAAACAAAACTAGTCAAACTGCACATTTTCGCCTTGACAAGAGACATCCACGTAACTTCAATGAAAAGCAATTATAACTCCATTATCATCCACACTGGAGAGAAATATCAAGAAAAAAGGGAATTGTACATGACAAATGCAATAAAAGAGAATCCAAATATTAAATGAACAAAACTTCTTCTACAGTTCGGTGCAGTTGCTTAGACTTTTACATGTATTAATCAGCTAAAGCATGGATTTCTTTATTAAATAAAACAAATGAAAGAGAGAATGGATGAAGGTTCCAGGTGATAATCAGTCGACAGGCATCTCCAGTTTAACAAAAAGTAACAATACCAGTATATTATCCAGTACAGGGATCGACACCACGACATAAGATCACATATAGAAGTGAATATTATTTGCCCAAAAAGGCAGAAGACATTATGGTAACAGCAAAGGTGAGAGATCAATACCCCAACTCCCTCAGCTTTGGTAAAACTTTTTGAATGTAGTAGGTTGGGCTCGACCATGCTTTTACTCTCAAATTCACTATGTTGCTTATGTTATTATCAAATTGCTGGAGTATATGTTCCGGAAGCTCTCTGACCACATCAACTTTATTTCTGAGTGCATATATGAAGAATTCCTCATCAAATATGTCTGCAAATTTACTGCAACAAATTCAAGAAAATGACATGATTTGTTATAAATTCCAACATTAGAATGTTCAACTAACTAAGAAACATCAAATCGACACATGACTAAAGAGATGGAGCAGAAATTGTGTCAGAATTAAGTAACCATCCTCAATGAACTTGGATAAATGAATGTCTAGAAATAAAAGTCATTTTCTCATACAAAATTACACCAAGTATGGAGTGGTCAAACATTTTGAAAGAAATTTGACAGTGCTGTGCAATTTTAGCTGTATTATAATGTTTTTCTCATGATTGATCGTGTTTTTCAAGGGATAAACTTTCAATTAACAGCAATAAGTAGACTAGAATATGCAAGATTTCGTTATGTAATGCCTAGACTCAATCTTCACTCTTCAGTTTTATTTTTCAATTTGTATATAGCTGGAAAAAGTTGTTGGAACGATATTTCCCAAATGCAAAAAATTTAAAAAACAATGCAAATCTGGAGCTAGCACCAAAGTTGCACTGGTTTTATAATCAGAGTTCTATTACTTCAATCATGTTTCTCTGACCCTTATAAGGTTTGATTAATAATCAGAACACCAAATCTAGGAAAAACCTATCCAATGGAATGAGAGAGAATGAAGCACATTGAACCCAATGCACCAAACTTCTGCAAAAATGTAGTGGAACTACAGGAAATCCAAAGAGATCTTATCCAAATCATTGGGCTAGGTCAATTTCGCTAAATTCACTAGTCTCCAAAGATGTCCATCAGCACTAAATTCTGCACGATATCTTTAACCTTCAGGAAGAGTTTGAATCATGAGCCTAACCAGAATTTGTAAGTTTGACCAGGAAACATATCTTGGAACTTTTAGCTTTATGAAGCAAATTTGAAATACTTGAGGAAAATTCTCAGAATTCATGACTATTTTTATTTTAAATCTCCTCAATTTTTAAGCAGTTTATTATTTTGTACAATCTTGAAAGTGTTGACAGAAAAGACATTGAAAGAAACGGACAAAGAGGGCATATGGCTAAAAGAGGAGATACATATTCTTTTTATGTTTTGACCAATTACATCATTTGGATTTCAAGTAGGAAAGACACAGAGAAAATTAATGAAGAAAACATCCAAGAAGGGATCAACTACAGGAAAGGAACACCAATTAAAATCTCAACGCACCTGGAATCCCTCCAAACACTGTTCAAATGAAATATGGGAATAACAAGTGTTGCATTCAGCAAACCCGCAACTGCCACTGCATCACATATCTGTAACACAAATGGGAAAAACCATGAGCAACTTTGACTTTAAGGATGCATAATGTGGTGCAATGACTTTAGCATCTTTAACTCAAAGATCTGAAGAATATTTATAAGACCTGTGAATACATTTGGCTTCACAAATTTGTTCTTTAATTAGCACATAGACAATCGATAATTGTGCAAATCCACCAGAAAGATTACATTACTTTCTATGGGAAAAGAAAAATTATATATTCAGAAAGATTAAAGCCCAAGATAATGAGAAGTCGAAGGATGCAAAGAAAGATAATCTCATGTTCCTCTGAAGTTCCACTATGATAGTTGATGGAATATTTCCACCATCACATTGCTTAAATGATTTAAGGTGAAGAAAATCATCAGCTGTAATAAAAGGGAATATCAAGTTATGGTACTCTTAAGTTAATAGCAATCCCCAAAAAAATTAAGTACAAAAAGATATTTATGCGCACTATTTGGACATTGAACCTCTAAAACACATAAGAGTAGTTAGTGCCAGCATTGAGAATGATTAATAGACTATTGAATTTGAATCACATACGAAGCAAAATGTGTAAAATGAAAATTCATGCAGACAAATGATTGAGGAGAAACACGTTGTAACAACTTTGGACCAATTGTTATAAGTAGAAACGTACCGATAATCGTTGTTGGTTCAATCCACCATTTGCTTCAATTATTAGGAAACCGTTTCTTTTTGGCAACTCTGAGAAGCCTTCAAGCACAAAGTTGGTAAAGGTGACACATTACTTTTGTAGTTAATACACCAAAAGTAACCTGCTTATAAATACCCCAACATGGTTGCAAAAGAATTTCCAAATCTTCTAATCTTTTAGAAGAACAATCGAATACATGAACCAACTAATATCTAAAAGAAAACTCGTTATTACTTTCTAGAAAGACTTGGAAGTAAGATGATCGAAAAAGCATATTCGTAGTGAAGATCTGTTGAAATAATTATCTGCACATCCTTCAACAACATTGTGGTTAGAGCATCTGCAATGCAAAATGTTCATTGTTTTACACATGGCAAGTAAAATGGGGGATGAAGAGAAGAGCATCTCCAATGGGGCTATAGATTGCACCAATTGTGGACCCATATGTACAAAAGAGAGGATGTGGAGAAAGAGTGGAGATAAATTATAAAAAATTAAATGGAGGACGTCTAGCACAATGGAGATAAATAATAAAAAAATTAAGTGGAGGATGTCTAGCACACCCTCCGACATCCTCCACCTTTTTCGTTGCAATGTAAGCATTTTGGGGGTGATGGGGCACACTTTTTGGTGCAATCCACCGCCCCAGTGGAGAAGCTCGTAATTCTACAAGTAAACATAACTCTTCGGTAACTAGTTTGCACATGCATCAATATGTACATATGTTACATTGCATAAGAACATAGATAAAATAGTGCAAAAGACGGACAATCATTTCAAATATGGATGTAAATCCTTGCTTCATATGCATACATAGTGGAAATGTACCAATGTAGGATTACATACATGCAAATGTAGAAACATAGACAACATAGAAGTATATTATTTACTCACTGTTGTATCTGCAAAGATGTACCTATGAAAATTATTGCAATAAGTAAAGATCTCCAAAGCGGGCAAACATAATTCCTTTAATTCAAAAAGTAAAATTGAAAAGACATGTCATTATCTTCCCCTTTTTCTCTGTTGTTCCATGAAAGACGAAGAGGTAAAAAATACCATAATTGTTAAAATATTTAACTGCTGACATATACTTGTCAATTATGCATTATCCATCCCCAGATCTTTTTTTCTGTTCCTGAACCAAAAAATGGCAACTAATAGATTAAATCCAAGTGGCAAAGATTATAACAAACCTGCTTGAGAAATAGTCTGCTTGACACAAGGCTTCCATCCTTGAGACAACTTTGGATTCCATGCATTTATTAACTGCATATAGTTTTAAGCCAGAAGATGATACATGTTGGTTATATTACCTTCATACAGTTCATAAGAATAGGATAACCGTCTGTGCAAATCAAGATAAATTCTTCAAATCATCATCGAAGAAATAATTTTTCAAGAAAAGCCATCAAAGACTGAAAATTTATCACTCCCTCAGCTCAACATCTCCAATTCGTCAATTTGACAATTCACCGCCTTCTTCAACGAGCACTCTTTTATATTTCAGTTTACACCGCAACTTAACACAGAATCCATAAAGATCAAAGCTTTATGTACTTAAATTTTAACCATAATTCAATTCGAAAAATCTTATCAACGCAAGCAAATTGCAACGGAATTTAACAAAGACGAACACTTAATCCTCCATGAAACAACAAAATTACCATGTTATTGGAACTCCGATTGCTTTCGGCCTCCATGAACGGCCAGAGCTTTTGGAATACCTCAGGACTCCGATATATCGACCCGAGCCGGACCACATCACTTCCACTTCCACCACCTCTATCTCTGTAATAGACAACATCAATACCCAATGTACCTGTATACAACAGCATCCCTGATATATACAGCAACGGGGCAAACAAAAGCATCCCTCTTCGCCTATACATTACAGACATTAATAAATACCCAAACCTCTCCACCACATTCTGTAACTTAGTACCATCTCCACCAATGCCACCGCCGAGGAAACTCCTCCCGCCACTTCCGATAGTAGTGGCGGAGCTGCTCTTATTACGGCCGTGGCGGTGGCGGGGAGATGTCGGTGGTGACAAAGACCTCACCCCGTTGCTCAAACGACTAGGGCCGTGCATATTCTTCCTCTACTACACTAATCTATGTCTAAAAACTGGATTTCTCGTTTCTAAAGTCAGAATAACAGATGGGTTTGAGCAATTTAGCTTTTTTCCTCTAAAGGCAATTGCTGGAGAGTTGAAAAGGGAACTAACAGACTTGAAGTCCAGTGCTATACCACTGTGGGGCGTGGGGTGGGGGTACTGGTAGCAAGAAACACGGGAAGTTAGAGGGCATTTGTGATGTGGGAAAATGGGAAATCAAGTGGATCACTGTGTGACAGCTATATATTGGGCTCTCTTTTTTATTGACTTTACAGTGACATAAAGACGCTCTTGGATTCGCCTACCTATGTCGGTTGAAGTAGCATATTTTATCCAGCCGCGGTGAAGGCGCTGCGATACTGCCGGCGAGGGTAAGTAGTGATAATGTAAATGCAAACCAGTTACAGTAAGTACTGAAGTTGTAATACACGAGTCTCAATCGACTGATCTGAGTCTCATGTTATCCATTTATAGATTGTCATGCTGTAATTCATTTATAAGTTGTCAAAGTTTGAAAGTGTTCAAAATGAGTATGACATTTCTTTGACCAACTAGTGAGAAGCACTTGTCATGTTGACTACGTAATAGCGTATGTATTAAACAAAAATATTTATGTCAAATTTTAGTTACATAAAATTTTCTTATAAGTTGTTAAATGTTTCGAATCAATATTAACAACTAAAGTAAAAACAAACCACTCTTAAAAAAGAAAAAAAATTAAAACATCNAAGAAACATAAACAATCACGACTTTACGTTTCACAATTAATGTAAAATTATTTTGATATTTAAAATTTATTGATCATATATTTATCGTGGCTGCACTTCAACGTTTACAACAAATTTTAAATCGCTGAAAACGAATTTCTGTAATTTAAAATACTGAATCAAACGTAATAATAATAATAATAATAATAATAATAATAATAATAATAATAATAATAATAATAATAATAATAATAATAAACTGAGCCGAGCCATAAAGCCATTGGGCTCGGCTCACGACTTATGAACAGTAAAGACAAAGTATCTCTTTTATTTATGTGTATGTAGATAAATTAGAATTATATGATGATAATAACTTGTTAGTAAGCTAAATGAAAAGAGTGTGATCAGCATGATCTGAGGCTTTTTTTTTCCCCTTCCTTTTCGTGTCATGCACGTAGGATATGCATTATTGTTCATGAGTGGAGAAAATTATACTCTTGATGAAGCATAATATCATTATCACTTTTTATTGACATATATTTCATCTTGAAAATATTTACAATGAGTTATTTCGTAATTTAACTTTAACAATTCTCCTATGCCGCTGACACCCTCTCTGACAGACCCTTCGCAATAGGGGACATGATTTTTTTGGCTTTTTTTTTATTCACATGAGTCCCACTCTGACGTGAGTACAAATCAATAAGCGTGTCAATTTTTTTTGGCAAAAAAGTTCAATTGTAACTTTAGTTAGACTACTTGGTCAAAAATTTGACCTAGTATACCAATCCGTTTGAACGCTTCCTAATAGTGATGGTCGCTTCAATTGCGTTTTTAGTAGATTTTAGAGAGTGCTCATTTAGTTAACGTCGTCGTCGACAATCATCTTTTTGAGATGAGCCCTTCGATACTTTACTAATTGAGTAGTTGAGACTTGCACATAATTGCCCATTTTAATGGATCGAGAAACATTTTGTAATTTGTTGTCTAAAATTATGATTATTCGTCGTCCATTTTTATTTATCCAACAAAATAAATTTATTAGATGTGGATCAAAGACTATCTAAATCATTTCATGAATAAAACATGATTTATTGACTAATCAACAACTTTTTTTTTGTTACAACCGTCTAAATAAATCAATTTTGTTACGAAGTTTTGCTTTATGCACTTGAAACGTGAATTCGTCTCACTTTTATGTTATTTTCCAAGCTTATGATTTTGTAATTCGGCCGAGGCTGTTGGGCATGTTCGGGCCTGAGCTAGACCTATTCATATTCAGCCAAGGTTGGTCTTGGGAGATGGTTGGGCGGGTTCAGGCCTGAGCTAGACCTACATGAATGTGGGTCAGTCCGAGCCAACCCCACCCATTTTGACATCCATACTCCCACCTCATACAACTCTTCATGCGGAAAAAGTTGATTGAAAACTATAGCCTCCATCCCCATATATGCGACATAATTGGGTCAAAATCAAACCCAAGAATCATACAAGTATTTATAATTACAAACATTGTTAGATAAGAAATTTTCTACTAACTAAAACATTTGTATACAATCATTTTTCTCTCCTGAATTTCTGGAATTTGGTTAATTCACCGGAACATAATTGATCAAATATCAGAGAGACCTCAAATGAATAGACCAAGTTAAAAAGTGTTGGCCCTAAAAATCGAATGCAAAAAGCAGACTTCCAAAGCTTACGCATGCAAGGGGGAAGGAAAAAAGAAGAAGAATTAGCGTATGTATCATGGCCGTACTCTTAAACAGGGATGGATCCAGCACCTAGCCAGCCCTTGTGGCCGCCCGTGCTGAATCTGCCTGGAGCTTCACCAAACAGCCGCCGAGTCGCCGTCCACCGGGAAGAATGAAATGAAGAAGAAGAAGAGGTTGTCATTTTTTATTTTTTTTCCCCTTATTGTTCGGGCCTTTCTTTTAAAAAATAAGGCCCAATGGAACGAAGAATGAGCCCAAACCATGTCCGTGTTTTTCTTTTGCCCCTAAAATTGAAGTCCATTAGCCACCCACAACAAAACCAAATGAGAAAATTACATATTCAAGAGTATAANAGAAAAATGTATTGATGTAATGAAAAATATTATTTTATTGAAAAATGTGTAGTTGAAAATGAGAATTGATTTACTATAAAAAATGAGAATCTGTACCAAACAGGCTCCAAATCCCTATGAATGATTGAACTTTGATGGCACACTGTCCAAACCAACTCGCCCGGAATTCATACCATCCCCCACCTAAATTCCCAAGACTCAACCCCTTTTCCAGATTTCTTCAAAATCTTTTATCTCGATCCTCAAATCAGTGGGCTTTATTCAAATTAGAGCTCAACATCCTCATCCTCGCTCCTGAAATACTCAGGACCATCGGTGGCAGTGAAGTTGGGGGTGGTGCATGACAGCGAAGTTGTGGCAACCGCTGTTGAGGGAGAGATAAGCAGAGTTAAAATTGGATGTTGTAATGTTTGTAAAGAACAAGTCTTCAAACCCTACCAAGAGAACTTAAAGAAATCAAATAATTTCTGAAATACACGGGATATATAGTTTAATAGAAATGGAAAAAATCCAAACTACAGTATATGATAATCGAAATAACAAAATTGCTGCATTTACCCGTTAGGTGAAGAAGGAGCCATATTCGAAGGCGATCACTTTGGCTGGTGAGAAAGTCATAACAGAACGAGAGGTGCGGTGAAGCATAAGAGGAACTGGAAAGAGGAGGAATTAATAGAAATTTAGGTTGAAAAAAGAAAATTGGAAGGTGATGTTGTGAAAAATGGAGATAACGGTGCGGTAATTGAGGGTCTTGTGTGACTGGCGTGGGATTTGGGGATGTGGATGGAAGAACTCAGGAAGGAGATGAAAGTCTTAAATACGGTGTATGAATGTTTAGGGTATAAATCTAGTTTGTCATTTTTTAGAGTAGTAGGCCTAATTTCCTCTTTCTTTTGCCCCTAAAATTGAAGTCCATTAGCCACCCACAACAAAACTAAATTTATTTTTTGGTCCGGCGTAGGAGGGAGACGAGAGACGACAGGGGTGACACGAAGCGACTGTGACTGTGAGTCAGTGACTGGCCGACGGCGACGTCGCCGATTGATGAAACCACTGGACGGTGGACGGTGGTGGACGCCTGGACTGGACGGTGGTGAGTGGTGGACGCAAGATGCTTCATGTCGGCTTGGCAGTGGCTGGAGCCTGGAGCTTCGTCTGCGCCTCTGCTGCGGTCTTCCTCACAACAAAAGGTATTTGCTCAAAAATCTTGCCCTTTGAAAATTTGAAATCAATGTTGCTAGTTAGCTAGTTGCTATGAATCTTATCGCCTATGACATATTGTTTTTCAATTTTATTTTTTTTGCTTTTAGTTTTTGTGAATTTGTGATTTATGAATTATGTGAAATGAGAATTTATGTTATATTATTGTCCGAAATTATGAGTTATGACTTATAATTTTGATTTGTGATTGTTAGGAAACTTAGGAATAAGTGAAAAAAACTTAGGGAAACTTAGTGCATTTACTTATGTATTGAATTTTATTTTCGGCTATTACGATCGTTGAACGGTCACTGGTCAACAGTCAACGGTCTCCACCCTAGCTGAACGAAAATGCTGGATTCGCCCCTGCTCTTAAATATTGCTCAGTCGATCTTCACCAACTATCCATCTTGTCAACTGGCTTTGGTCGACAACTAGAGCCTTGCAGGATTTTGGAAATATCCCAAGATCAGAACCAATTCGGTCCTACTCCTTGAAAGCAGCTTCCTTCTCTGCCTCGGCCGCCGAATCATCCATGCAGTCAACTGTGCTGACACGAAGAAGGGCAGCATAGTATTTTTCTCAAGATCATTTTGGAAGGGTTCCATTGCAGGGGCCTGCAAGTCAACAAATCAGATTGTGATAAGATTGTAATATCAGATAAACAAACAACGTACCACCATACCAGCCATTGGCCTCATCCACTGCTGTCATTGCCAGGTACCTACAGAATAAAAGAATTTGTAAAACCATTGAAGTGTCCACACGTGATTATTGCCAACTAATTTACATATACAAACTTCTACATAAACTAGTGTTCGCACGTGCGATGCACGTGCTACAGTTTAATTGAGTATTTAATAGCGTTGAGTGATCTTAAGGTATTTTTTCAC